CCGTGTTACCCCCATCTTAACACTCCTATCGACCAATAAGAGAAAGAGAGAGAGAGAGAAAGATAGTTTATTATCAAGAACCTTGCAGCCACAGGCTGAATTACGTTTGATTTACAATAAAATATATACTACAAAAAATACATGGCTAAGAAGAACTAATTAAAAAAAACAAAAATATATAATTAAGAGAAAAACAATATTACATCATTGCTTTATGGACATAGTGATGGATAAAACTATTTCGAGTACGAATGGTGTGGAGGCGCCGTGTAGTAAAAGAGTGCTGACTCCTTAAATTGACTTCGCACTCATTCTTGGGAGGTAGTAAGCTATAGAGCTTGTGCGAGGGATTAGACAGGATGGAATTAAAAAGCTTATCACATAAGAACTCGCGGCGGTTGTGTAAGGGAACTAGACCAGTCAAAAGAAGCGCCTCATTGTACGAACAATCTGGATAGATAATACGTAAAGCTCGCCTTTGACATCTCTCAAGATCTACTGAAAGGTATTGCGGGAGGCTATGATGATAAACAGGGCATGCATATTCAGTGACAGGCCTAATACAAGTCAAATAGAAGAGCAAAAGTTCCTCCGACTTGACTTGTGCACGCTTAAGCTGACGCAAAAAATACAGGCGCTTGTTTACTTTCTTTACAACTTCGGATACGTGATTATTCCACGTAAGATCGCAAGATATCTGCAAACCTAAGATCTTTGCTTGCTCTACACACTCTAAGTCCTGATCATTAACCTTAATTGGATCAAAGTTCTTTCTAGAGTGACTGAATGTTATGCGCAGTTCCTTGCACTTGGTTTCATTTAATTGGAACTTGTCAGCAGAAGCTTGCGTCGCGAGTTCGTCAACCGCTTGTTGGACTTTGCTGACCTCAGACTTCATGACTGTTTCAGAAATAGTGGAGTCATCGACATATTTCCACATGTCTGTACCCGGGATGATGAGGTCGTTTATCATAATAGTAAATAACCAGGGGCCAAGTTTTGTGCCCTGTGGGACCCCTGATGGGATGGCCCCCCACTCCGAGTAACAGTCCTGACTAAGTTTAACACGCTGTCGGCGACAGGACAGAAAGTCCACTATCCAGTCAATTATTCCGCTTGGAAGATCGTATGAAATGAGCTTCTGAACTAGGATCTGATGGTCAATAAGGTCAAACGCCTTGCGGAAGTCAAAGAGGATGGTTCTGACAGTTGCACCGTTCCCATCCGTAGCACTAAGCCATGAGTGGACCATGCTTATTAGTGCTTGTGTCGTACTGGAACCTGGCACAGTCCCAAACTGCCGTACATCCACTTTCGCCAACACAACAGGCTTGAGGAAACTCTCCACGACGAAATCTTCAGCAACCTTAGAAAGCACGGGAGTTAGGGATATTGGACGTAGATGTTTGTTTACATCGTGTATTGGATTCTGCTTTGGTACTGGAGTGATGTTAGCGTCCTTCCAAGACTGAGGCAACCGTGCTTCCTTAAACGAACAGTTAAGGATATCAGTCACAGGCAGTGCTAGTAAATCTGCATTCTCTTTAAGAAGCCAACCGGGGATTCCGTCCGGACCGGTTGCCTTAGTTGGATTTAAGGCGGATAGCTTCTTTAAAACAGAGAATTCTGATACCTGGAAAGCACTCTCCTGGTCAGAGTTGGTTGAGGTGTTAGGTGAAAGGGGGTGAAGACGCGCATAGGAGCCAAGAACGCCTGGTTGATGGTGTTAGCAATGTCTATCGTGCTTGGAGGCGAACCTCTCTGACCACAATCAATATGTTGGTAGAGGGTAGCTGGATTAACGCCTCTAGAAGCTGCGTCTGACATACCACTGAGCTTCTTTACCTCACGCCACCAAACTGCGGGTTTACAGTCCTTCAGATGTTCAACCTTGGAGTTATAGAACTTTGCACGGCATGCTTTCCTCTCACGATTAACGCGATTTCGTAGGGTGCGGTACTGCTCCTGGTCGCCTTGAGCGAGGGCCTTTTGGCGGCTGTGAATGAGACCCTTCAATTGTTGATTGACCCAGGGCGGCTCGTTGGTTTGTACCGACTTAGACTTCAGGGGGAGGAGAATGTCCATTCCGGTCTTAACTATGGTCTCCAGCATTTCCACTTTGCCCTTACAAGAATCTTTACTATCGATAAGTGTCTTAACGTCCACATTTCCAAGATACGTGCGCATAGCCATACGCGTTGTAGGCCGTAAGTCCCTCGATTTCACGATAAGTTTAGTTCTTGGTTGTTGGGAACGCACGAGCGGCTGAACTTCCACAGAGAAATGATCGGACAAACCGAGAGCAGGGCGCTGGATCGGAGGGGCATAGAACTCCTTCACATTTGTTAACACCGGATCTAAGGTATTTCTGCCGCGAGTTGGAAAGGTAACGATTTGCTTCAAATTAAAGCCGTTACTAAGGCGCAAAGATTTCTTTAACAGAGTTTTATTGAAGTCACCAAGTAAAATTATCCCGCAGCCAGGAAAGCGAGCCTCAACCAAAGATAAACAGTTATACAAATAATCCAGCATAGGCGAATCCGCGGCGCTCGGAGAATGATAAACAACTCCAACAATAATGCTGGTAATGCCCCTTGGGAGACGCGAAGGCCGTATTTGAGTCCAAACAACTTCAAACTTCCTATCCATAATGTCCTCAATGATCTTGCATTGGATAGACTCTTTAATGTACAGACACACTCCCCCATGCACTGCTTCAGTTCGATCTCGGCGGATCACGTTATAGCCAGAAATAGCGACAATATTATTGTCAATGTGGTCTTTGAGCCAAGTCTCTGTTATGCATACGAGGTCGAAATCTGCATAATGGACGACTTCACGGACTTCATCTATTTTCGGCGCCAGTGACATGACGTTGGAGAGAAAGAACGACGGCATGAATAGCTTTGATGACTTTGCAGGTTCGGCTTTAGATGGTGTAGGTGGAATAGCGAGAAGGTTGGCATTATTACAGTATTTGTGACTGGACTTCAAACGGTAGGGGCCATGGTTGGCTGACCTTGGTGAAATAACTGCAATATGGCGGTGACGATAAACTTCTCGCTCCTTCACTTGTCGTCCAGCTCTGGTACCGCGATAAGATGGCCATTTCCCACCATGAAATCGAAGAAAACCAAAAGAGGGGCGAACCTGGACCATTTTGCGGCAGCAGATATAACATTTAAGGCAATAAAATTCAAAAATTACGGAAGCAGATGAGACCTCGTGCTGCCTTGAAAGGCGCATACATTTATTTAAGAACACGCTGCTATCTTAAATATTCCCTTAGAAAGGACCATTAACTGATAAAGATCAGTAGAAAATGAGGAAATCACTTCATTTTATTGCATCGATTACATTAACTCGTTTCGTTTCCCACGTAGTTGGGCCAATATACAATATACAGCCGTCCAAACCGAATAGAGGACGTATTATACAACCGAAAGATTCAACCGCTACATGGCAAGTTACACTGGACAACAGAGACAACGAACCAGTTTGCTCTGTAGCAACAAATGGTCTTCTTTTGGGGCTCAACTTTTCGTATTAAGTGTACAAAAGTTCCTTTGTTGCTGCAGGCAATTAGTTATTTAGGCGAAGCCGGGCGGAAAAGTTTAGGGTTAAAATGTTCGGGGAGGCTGTGGGCGTCAAAATTTCTCATAAAGTTTCATCCCACCTTATCAAGTTTTGTAAAACAGAGAGTTTTTGAAAATCCTCGTTTAATGAACAATCTTTCATCATCTAATTTACCGAGGAAGAAGATGAGTGGTGAAAGATGGTGAGAAGGAGGGAAGAAATATGTTACTGATGTTCAGTTTCTCGTAAATCTGCGGGAGATGAACTTCAGACAAACTGAGATAAACTTCACTAGACCTTCTTACACTTATCTTAAATACTTCTACGTAAAGAGTGGCGCGTTTACCGTCTAAATCAAAATAACCCTTTCAAAACAGCAATTTTTCTTCTACACGTTCCGCAACTATTAATCTAAACAAGCAATTAAATTAATGTAATTAGGCGTGGGATTGGTAGCTGACGAATTTATCTTCACAGGAGCTATGCAGACTCAAGAGAGAATCGAAGCCATAAGTGCTTCTTACTTCGAAACGACGAACCTGCACGTGGGTTTCGGTTGATGAGTTTTGCCAAGTTCACGAGTATTTTGAAATTTAATATCAGTACGACGGCCGCAACAATTATCACGCATTGTAAGGTACAAATGGGAATATTTATTGGGTGGATTTGCATGCACATTTTAAAAGAAATTACATGTTTTGTCTTTAAAAAATTCTAAAAATATATTGGACTATGGGTTAAAATATGGGTTGCAGCTTCTATAATTCTTTATAAAAAATCTTTTGTCTCTTCAAGACTAAGAATTTGAAAAATATACATATAAAATTTATGGAACAGTCACTTTGCCTCGCTTAGTATAAACAAACTTTTTGTAGCCTTACTTCATCAGCAAAGAATTGAAAGTTAACATCAAATATATAAAGAAAATAAAGGATGATCCCATGAGGCTGCAACATCCATTATCATTCTAATTGGTTCTCACTTGGTCGGTATTTTGACATACGGACCGTTGCCTATTTACAGACTGTGTGCCTGATCTCACAAGTATTTTCTTCGTCTATTAACTCACTTAAGATCTTAGACGACGAAACGTCCATTGGATGTTCGTAGGTTTAATAATACACTGGGTTTTGTCACCTCCAGACAAATACTCACTTTAAAGCTTGGTCGAACACATTTTAACAATCCATGATTGTTGCTGGTATACTTGACCAAAAGTAAAAAAATTCATATATACAAAAAAATGTATAAAAGCTGTACTTTGCCTCGCTTCGCTGTTAACAGCTTGTTTTGAAGAGTTACTTGATCAGCAAATTATTAGAGGTTTTAAAGGTTAATCTCAAATATATAAGGAAAAAAGACGATGATCTCATAGGACTGCATTATTCATTACTCCATCCTTTCCTGTATGAGAATTTGCTGGCTCACGCGGCTAAATCTTCGACATTCACGTAAAGTCGATGGTCATAATTTTTTAAGTTTATCAACCCCTATAAAAACAGAAAAGAAAGAAAGGAGGAAAACATTAGGGAAAAGTGCCACTTTAATCATACATATAAATTATACTTTGCTTAACTTTTGATGGTGCCTTTATTTTTAAACCTATTAACCCTAGACAGAATCCTCCAGTAATCACAACCACCAAGCAGAACGAAGGTTAACATCGTCATTAGCCAATGAGAACTCAGAGTAAAATCAGGCAACCTGTTTCAAGCGCGGGAAAACGCGACTGCCCAAGTTGGGATTGGTTGTAGTTTTGCATTTGATTAGTTGAGATGGTGGCGCAAGTTTTCTGGCAAGGAATCAAAGCAATCTAGGACTATTTTTGGTACTCAACTGAATACTACTCTACAAGCGTAATAAATTGAAACCACGAACTACGCTTCGAAACCTTTTTGGTGACACTATTATCGAGTAAATTTGACGGCGATAGATTCAAACGTTCAAATTTTCAAAAAAAAAAAAGAGAGTGAGTCTCTTTGCAAACTCTTCAGTTCTACCTTGTGCTGGTTTTCCATCTCTCTGAGTTTGTTTCTCAACTTCTCAAAAGATGGTCTCAAGTTAGGTTCGTCTCTCCAACATTTCGTCATTATTTCATACCTGAAACACAAGGATGTTATGAATATCTCGGTATGTCATTGGTGGCTTAGAAACGGTCCAACCTATTCTCGATGAACAAGCTTTTTTGGTCGCAAATTTCCTCTCTTTTATAACAAAGTAGAAAAGGTATATAACACAGTTATAAACTCGTGATAATGTACTCCTTTCATTTCCCTTCGTTAGGCTGGTTCAACAAGTAAAAATGTTAAATCTGGAGGTGCACATGCAACCCGAACAAAAGCAGGACAAACAAACAAGAAAAACCAAAAACCAACAATAGCAACATCATATTAACATACAACTTATCATCCACATGTTGTGGTTTAGGCATTCTGTATCCCTCTTGAAGTAAGTTTGCAATTTTTCTTCCATCCATTCGTGAATACGGTGAACC